GAACTACGCGGTCAAAATAGATGTTAAATAATGTGGGAGCCAGAGGACATCCCTGTCGCACCCCAAGGTGTACAGGGAAAGGCTCCGACTCCCGGCCACGTAGTTTTACCCGGGCCCGCTCACCATCATGAAGGTCCTTAATGATCGTGAGCAGAGGGTCAGGGACTCCGAAAGCACGAAGAACAACCCAGAGCCCAGTCCTACTGATGGTATCATAGGCCTTGACCAGGTCAATAAAGCAGAGATGTAGGTCTTTTTGGAATTCCCTACACCTCTGCAGAGACACACACAGACACGATCACACACACACACCTAGACATAGACACACACAGAGACACCCTCACACACCTAGACATAGACACACATAGAGACACACACAAACACAGACACTTATACAACACACGGCTTTGACACTCACACACACATATACTGACACACACACGTAGAGACACACACAGACACACACACACTACAACAACACAGCCTTGACTCACTCACACACACACAGATACTGACATACACACACGTAGAGACACACACACACTACTACTACAACACACAACCTTGACTCACTCACTCACACAGATACTGACACACACACGTAGACACACACACACTACTACAACACACAACCTTGACTCACACACTAACTGGGAAGGCTTCCCCGCTGCCTCGCAGCGCGTCTGCAGCGTTACCTATCTCACCCGCTGTGTTGGCGTCTGAATTCACAGACATAATTAATTGATCTATTGAGAAAACCGAAGCGATTCCACCGGTCGATTGGCGAACGATACAAAAGTCGCGCCAACATTCTGCCCACGCTCTTTGTAGGGTGAGCGAATGTGTTTTTTGTTTTAAAATAAATAATAATCAACTTTAACTTTGTCGCGAGTCGGATTGTCATTTACGTGTTGTGTGTGTAATATGTAGTGCAGTGTAGTGTAATGTAGTGTATAGTCGTGTATAGTAGTGTAGTGAAGCGTGTAGTGTATAGTAGTATAGTGTATAGTTGTGCAGTGTATAGTGTAGTGTATAGTAGTGTAGCGTGTAGTGTAGTGTATAGTGTAGTGTATAGTTGTGCAGTGTATAGTGCAGTGTATAGTGTAGTGTATAGTGTAGTGTATAGTGCAGTGTATAGTGTAGTGTATAGTGCAGTGTATAGTGTAGTGTATAGTGTAGTGTATAGTTGTGCAGTGTATGGTGTAGTGTATAGTGGTGTATAGTTGTGCAGTGTATAGTGTAGTGTTTAGTGTAGTGTTTAGTGTAGTGTATAGTGTGTAGTGTATAGTGTGTAGTGTATAGTGTAGTGTATAGTGTAGTGTATAGTAGTGTAGTGTATAGTGTAGTGTATAGTTGTGCAGTGTATAGTGCAGTGTATAGTGTAGTGTATAGTAGTGTATAGTGTATAGTAGTGTATAGTGTAGTGTATATAGTGTAGTGTATATAGTAGTGTATAGTGGTGTAGTGTGTAGTGTAGTGTATAGTTGTGCAGTGTATAGTGCAGTGTATAGGATGAACGCTGAGATAAAGGGGCACGGGGTGACCAATAAGGAGTTGACAGCTATTCCATCCCCTAGAATTTTCCACTCTTAAACAAATTCAACAACAACCGGAATAACAAACTCGCCCTCCAGAGAGAGAGATTGAACCAAAAGTGGATGAGTGAGTGAGTGAGGAGTGCACGGTGAGGTGCGGCAACGCTTACAAACCCAATACAGGAACTGAAGATTTATTTAGCAAAATATTGAAAACACAAGACAAGCCTGGCACATTAAAACCGGATACATTTTTTTTTTCTTAACACCACTTGGACAAATCCTCGATAATTGATCATGAATAATAGCACGCCTACAATAATCATTATTAAATATTCACAAATTATTTTAACATATATTGCGAGCCGAATATTTTACACACGCGCTGATTTTATCGACCGGGCGTTCACAAGCAACTAATCAACTCTTAAATACCAGGTGCATCGATTGATTAGTTACCTCATATATTTAAGCGATAATACAAAATTTGCCAGATATTTCAATCATTCGCAACAGATAACTCGAACCGATGTCAACATGCTCGCACAGCAATTATTTAGCAAACTTATTTAAAGCCCCAATTATTTCCTTCCCACATTTAAACGCAATCCTCTCCAACCCATACAACTAAGCGGTATTTTGTACCCAACCTTTCAACTTAATAATCACAAAACCAAATTCACGCGCGTGTGCGTGTGTGGAGGCAGTCGCCCTCCAGCAACAACAACGGAGGGCAGAGGAGCGACGCTCACAACAACGAGCGGAGTGCCGGGCGGATAAAATGCAGAAAGTAGGGCAAAGTAGGGGTGCGTGGTGCGGGCGGGGGGGGAGTGTACAGCTGGTGGTGGTGCATCTACCGGTCATCTCGGTCAGCTGACCCAATGGCACCGGCGGGGTCTGCCCCAAGACCTTTTCCCGTCTAAAGCGACCACTTCACGTGGTCTCAAAGTGCACCTGGCCTGGCACGGGCGCCGTGAATGACGACCCCGTCACCGAACGGCGGTTGTATTGGTATTGGTCCGTGTTCTGCTGCTGCTGTTGTTGCTGCTGTTGCTGCTCCTAGAAATCGGGGCCGCGCTCGGTACCAATTGTACAACTAAAACATTTGACAAAAACAGCACGCCACACGCCAGCATGGACTAATGAACGGAACCCTTCGCGGGATACACTCGTGAACGCCGAAAAGCCGGTGGCGAAGAATGGTTTCACAAGCGAAGCATTGGCGCCTCTCAATTGTAACTAACTAAATACAAGGAAGGTGGGGGGGGGGGGGTGCGCTTCAAAAAAATGTTAACGCTAACATGGGACTATCGTTTTTAATGGAAAAAGGACGGATAATAAGACACCGTGTAACGTGATGACAGATGTAGCCTAAATAGCTTCCAATCGTCAAAGAGCCTTCCCCACAATCTTCTCCAGGTGATCTCCAGAGCCAGGAGGAGGCACAACAACTATTGTGGGAATTTGTTGCAAATTCTCAGAAGTGTTAAGCATTTTTCGAAACACCCTTATATATATATTTGCTATTAAAGCTTAAAAAAAAACATTCCTTTTGCAATCATCCCTAATAAAGAGTTGTGTATGTTGTTGTTGTTAGATCGTGTAAATATGTAAATGTTGTGTCGTCGTTAGAACCGCCGCCACCACCACCCGACACAGCCAATCGCGTAGAAGGGGCGGTGTTTGTGTCACGCAAGACAAAAAGCGTGGCCCAGTTGGTTTGCCGCTTGTCGCGTGTTGACGGAGAGTTAAACCCACGACAGCCTCGCTGTTAAAACCCAATCCCTTCATTATTTGTTCCCCTTTAACAACAACGACGACGACAACAACAACGACCCCACAACTCACCCCTGGAATCCCAACGCCCTCTCCCGACACGGCCATTACGAATCCAATAGGAGCCTCAGACGGAGGCAGAGAGACTAGGACCCGCCAGGATTTCAACCTAAGTTTCGATTTAAAGCTTTCGTGACTGCAGGGATTCATCTTCTTGGTTCTTTCGGTAAAGTCACGTAGAATGGAAATAATAAAATAATACAAATAAAACATAATAAAATAATTCTCACGACGTTTTGGCGACAACGCAAGCAGCTGTCCTCAGGTGGAGAGCAGGTCTGTCAAGAAGACAGCGTCTGAATGTCGTGAGAATTATTTTATTATGTTTTATTTTTATTATTTTATTATTTCCATTCTACGTGACTTTACCGAAAGAACCAAGAAGATCAACCGAAGTTTCTCAAGCAGAAGGGAACCACAGCACCCTCTCTCTCCCGACACGGCCATTACGCATCCAATAGGAGCCTCGGACAGAGGCAGAGAGACGACTCGGACCCAGGGGGTTTGAACCAGAGGTTGCAAACGGGTTTTGATTCCTTACCCGTACCCGTACCCTGCCGCACCAGGGTCGCAAACGGGTACCCGTACCCTACCCGATACCCGGCTACCCGTGACCGGCCCGGGTACGGGTAGGGTACGAGTACCCGATTGCGACCTCTGGGATGAAGCCATGTTGCAGGCGCGGGTGGGTTGATTCTAGGAACTTGAATTGTGAGAAGAGACAAGACATTGGGAAATGAGTGACAAACGGTGACTCACCAGTGATTCACGGCCTACCCGTACCCGGCCGCACCAGGGTCGCAAATGGGTACCCGTACCCGTACCCGGCCGGGTACGGGTAGCCGGGTATCGGGTAGGGTACGGGTATTGGGTACCCGGTTGCGACCTCTGGTTTGAACCTAAGTTTCTAAAGCAGTAAGGAACCCAGCATTCTGACACGGCCATTAGGAACCACCCCACCCTCCACCATTTGTAAAATTGGCTCCACCCACCCCCAAGACGTCTTTTCTACCACCCATCCTGATTGGACGAGGAGGGGGGGGGGGTAGACGAGCGTGGTGTGGGCGACGATGTTCTAGACGAGGTGGGGAGGGGGGGGTGAATTACGAGGTGTGAGGGTGGTCTTGACGAGGTGGTGGGTGTTGTGTGAGTTGTCGTCTAGACGAGGCGTGGGTGGTCTAAACGAGGTGAGAGAGACGAGGTGAGAGAGACGAGGTGAGGGAGTTGTCTAAGACGAAGTGAGGGGGTTGTCTAAGACGAGGTTGGAGTTGTCTAAGACGAGGAAGTTGTCTAAGACGAGGCAGGGGAGTTGTCTAAGATGAGGTGAGAGAGACGAGGTGAGAGAGTTGTCTAAGACGAGGTTGGAGTTGTCTAAGACGAGGTGAGGGAGTTGTCTAAGACGAGGTGAGAGAGACGAGGTGAGGGAGTTGTCTAAGACGAGGTGAGAGTTGTCTAAGACGAGGTGAGAGTTGTCTAAGACGAGGTGAGAGTGCTCTAAACGAGGTAACCCCTCTGCTTGGGCGGGTGGTGGTGGTCTAGGGGATCCATCCCGTCGGCGATGATCATCGCCATGTCCTCCTCGTCCACCTCCTCTTCGTCATCGGGCTCCACCTCCTCGTCCAGGCGGACGAACGGACGCTGCGAGCCGGGAGGGGGGGCGCCACCACCACCGCCGCCACGCTGGGGCTGGTGGGTGACGGTGGCGTAGACCGGAACACCGCCGGCCGGGGTGGTCCCCGCCCCGACGTGGAGCGCGGAGTCCAGGGGGGCCGCACGCAGCGAGGAGACCATGGAGGAGGCGGAGGAGGAGGAAGGTTGCGGCACCGTGTCGTACTGGGGCGGCGGGGAGACAAAGGTGGGCTGGATTTGGGGGGGGGGGGGCGGGGGTAGGAGGAGGAGGGTGAGAGAGAGGACACGTGGTGTGGTTCAGAGCTCCTGCAAAAGTCTCGACAACAACGAAAGAATTTCGATTTAAAAGCTGCTTTCGTGACTGCAGGGATTCATCTTCTTGGTTCTTTCGGTAAAGTCGTCACGTAGAAGGGAAATAATAAAATAATAAAAAATAAAATATAATAAAAAAAATTACATAATAAAACATAATAAAATAAAACATAATAAAATAATAAAAATAAAACATAATAAAATACTGCTGCAGCTCCTTACTATTAAAATTATTTCCCTTTATTACTGCTAACCCTACCTCCTCCCTTTGTTGCTGCTAATCCTACATAATGCACGGGCATATGACTTTGAAACCCCACTTCCTACGCATTCCACAAATAGTGACTAATCCCATATCTGCATTTTCCATAAATATTCTAAATTTCTCTGTTGATATGCAAATTCCTTTGTCAAGGTGCCCTTCCTCCCCTAACCCAGCTTAAATATACGCTGCCAAGCTTGGTGGTGCTCATTCAGACGCTGTCTTTCCGATAGCCCTGTTCTTCACCTGAGGACGGCTGCTTGCGATGTGGCCGAAACGTCGTGAGAATTGTATTTTATTATGTTTTATTTTTATTATTTTAATATTTCCCTTCTACGTGACTTTACCGAAAGAACCAGGAAGAACAACAAAAGAAACCTCATTCTAGATTTGAAGCTTTCGTGACTGCAAGGATTCATACTCTTAGGTTTTTTCGGTAAAGTTACGTAGGTAAAATAATAATAAAATAAAATAATAATAAATTACAATAAATCAATTAAATCACGACGTTTCGGAGGCAACACAAGTCTTCAGGTGGGACCGTCACAGCTAAATTTACTGTATCAATTATTTTCATTTATTATTATTTGATTTTATTATGTTTTACCTACGTGACTTTACCGAAAAAACCTAAGAGTATAAAAGAAACCTCCACACTTTTTCAGCCTTTTCTAATTCTCTCCCCTCTTCTTCTGTGTTTATATTTTGAGTCTGCGTCTCTATCTCTCTGTGATGAGATGTTAACTACCTCGCCTGATATGCAGGAGGTCGCCAGTTCTATCCTGGACCCTGACAATGCCTGCTGCTGCTGCTGCATATTTGGAGTCTGCGTCTCTCTCTCTATCTCCCTGTGATGAGATGTTAACTACCTCGCTGATATGCAGGAGGTCGCCAGTTCTATCCTGGACCCTGACAACATCTGCTGCTGCTGCTGTATATTTGGAGTCTGCGTCTCTCTCTCTATCTCCCTGTGATGAGATGTTAACTACCTCGCCTGATATGCAGGAGGTCGCCAGTTCTATCCTGGACCCTGACAACATCTGCTGCTGTTGCTGTATATTTGGAGTCTGCGTCTCTCTCTCCCTGTGATGAGATGTTAACTACCTCGTCTGATATGCTGGAGGTCGCGAGTTCGATCCCGGACCCTGACAACATCTGCTGCTGCTGCTGTATATTTGGAGTCTGCGTCTCTCTCTCCCTGTGATGAGATGTTAACTACCTCGCCTAATATGCAGGAGGTCGGCAGTTCGATCCTGGACCCTGACAACGTCTGCTGCTGCTGCTGTATATTTGGAGTCTGCATCTCTCTCTCTATCTCCCTGTGATGAGATGTTAACTACCTCGCCTGATATGCAGGAGGTCGGCAGTTCTATCCTGGACCCTGACAATGTCCGCTGCTGCTGCTGCATATTTGGAGTCTGCGTCTCTCTCTCTATCTCCCTGTGATGAGATGTTAACTACCTCGCCTGATATGCAGGAGGTCGCCAGTTCTATCCTGGACCCTGCCAACATCTGTTGCTGCTGTATATTTGGAGTCTGCGTCTCTCTCTCTATCTGCCTGTGATGAGATGTTAACTACCTCGCCTGATATGCAGGAGGTCGCCAGTTCTAACCTGGACACTGACAACATCTGCTGCTGCTGCTGTATATTTGGAGTGGTTGGTCACTGCTTGGATTTTTCTCCGGGTCCTTTCGGGTTTTTCCCCTCCGCATTTAGAATAATCAGCATCACGCGTTCACACTATTTGGCTGCTGCTGTAATTGCCCACGTGATGGATGATAAGGACCCTGACTTGGTTGAGCTGCCATCATTCTGGTCGCCTGGTCGCTTCGGAATAAGAGCTACACAGCTCAGTGCGGCCTTACCTGGTGTAATACAAAATAGTTTGAGTCTATGGGTCTCGATGTATCTATATGGGTCAGACCCTGCTGGTGCCATGAGTTGACTGCTGTGCCAGGCTCGGTGCAGAAGGAGGTCACGGGACAGACACAGCAGGTGCCATGGGGTTGACTGCTGTGCCAGGCTAGGTGCAGGAGGAGGAGGTCACGGGACAGACCCTGTAGGTGGAGGGGGCGGGTGGAGGGGGGGTGGAGGGGGGGGGTGAGGGGGGGTGGATGCATCGCATCGCCACCCCCCCCTCGCTACCCCCCCCCTCCACCCCCCCCCCCTCCACCCCCTCAACTCGAACCCGCAGCCTCACCTGGAGCTGCGATGGAGTTTTCCCGCCCCCGAACAAACTGGGCGGGCCGCCCCCGGCACGTGACGCCACTCCCCCCTGGGAGGACAGGGGTCGCGAGGAGCCGGCGTGGGAGGTCAGGGGTCGCGAGGAGCCGGCCTGGGAGGTCAGGGGTCGCGAGGAGCGCGACTGGGAGCGCGACGACGGGGGCGGAGGAGACTCGTCCATCCTAGACGATGGGGGAGCGTGGAGCACACACACACACAGACACACACACACACGCACATACACACACACACACACAGACACACACACAGACACACACACACAGACACACACACACAGACACACACACACACAGACGCACAGACACACACACACAGACACACATACACACACGCAGACACACACACACATACACACAGACACACACACACATACACACGCACACACACACAGACACACACAGACACACACACACACAGACACACACATACACACAGACACACACACACACGCACACAGACACACACAGACGCACACAGACGCACACACACAGACACACACACAGACACACAGACACACACAGACACACACACAGACACACACACACGCACACACATACACACACACATACACACACGCACACACACACACAGACGCACGCACACACACACAGACGCACGCACACACAGACGCACGCACACACAGACGCACGCACACACACACGCACACACACAGACGCACACATACACACAGACGCACACAGACGCACACATACACACAGACGCACACACACACATACATACACGCACACAGATACAGACAAAGGTTACCCGTGAAGCTCACACCACGCGTGCGGGCACGGGGGCTGGAAGGGGAAGGGCAAGTGCTGTTTGGTATCGAGCAGCAGCAGGAGCAGCAGGAGCAGCAGGAGCAGCTGGAGCAGCAGCAGCAGCAGCAGCAGCTGGAGCAGCAGCAGCAGCAGCAGCAGCAGCAGCTGGAGCAGCAGCAGCAGCAGTAGCTGGAGCAGCAGCAGCAGCTGGAGCAGCAGCAGCAGCTGGAGCAGCACCAGCAGCTGGAGCAGCAGCAGCAGCAGCAGCAGCTGGAGCAGCAGCAGCAGCAGTAGCTGGAGCAGCAGCAGCAGCAGTAGCTGGAGCAGCAGCAGCACCACCGCTGGCACTCACACAGACAAGGACAAAGATCCCTCGAATCGCCTGGAACAGACTGTCGGTGGGGGGGGGGGGGAGTGCCGTTAGCGAGTAGCAGCACCTAATGAAGGCTACCGCACTGTCGCACACGAGGCGGTGGCAGTGGCCAGCAACCACGCCCGGCCGCCTTTGTCTCTCCCCAGCGGGGCGATGTTTACTACCACACACACAGAGCAGCAGCAGCAGCACCAAGTAACTCAGTTGAGGCCGAGTCGACCCAGCGGAGGCCCAGGACCAGTTCAGATAATCGTCACCGGTGGCGTTGGTCATGAGCGGGAATCGAACTCGGGGTCGCCCGATTCGAAGCGAAGCGCACTGATTGTTACACGACCGCTCCCCACTCAACAATACCAGTACCCGTCATTCGCCACTAGGTGAGGGTGACGTCACCACAGCGCCTGTACCAGGCTAGGTGCACTTTGAGTCCACGTCAAGTGTCGAAGCCTCAGACCCATCAGGTGCCATGGGTTGGCTCACCGAGATGACCGGTAGATGCACCACCAGCCGTATCCCCCTACTCTGCCAACTTGTTTCATTTTAGCTACCCGGCGCTCCGCTCGTTGTTGTGAGCGTCGCTCCTCCGCCCTCCGTTGTTGTTGGAGGGCGACTGCCTCCAACTGCCCAGTGGCAGCATCCTTCACGAGCCTCCTCCACAGAGGCCGATCTTGACACCGCTGGTACGGGTCGTCGGCAAGTCCACTCAGCTCCACATCCTCCTGTACCGCATCAGTCCATCACTTCTCCAGCCCATGTCGTGCATGTTAGGCCCCCTCTATGCGGCCAAACCGAAGCTGTTTCCTGGTCTCAGACTCTGGATCACCTTCAGTACATCCTCAACAGATGGTACCTCAGCCAGCCACTCACAGGAGGTGACTTCTTCCAATATTTGAGGCACCGCAGCCTCGGCAGGGTCATCCCCACTTTGTCCCATGTTGTTTTCCAGGCTGAGGGATTTCCTCTCCCCCAGGACCTCACAGAAATGCTCAGCAAATCTGCAAACCTGTTCCTGGGGGTCGGAGATTGGATCACCGTTCTTTCCCCTAATGATGGTAATAGGTGTGGCGCTGCAGGTTACTTTTTATGGAATTAAAGAGCGATTTGTGATCGCGGGCCATTGAGGCAGACTCCATCTCCTCAGCAACCAGCGACCACCACCCATCCTTGCAGCGCCTCACAGCTCTCCAAACCTCTGAGCCAAGGCTGCGGCAAGCCTCCTCATTCTCCGACGTGGGATGCTGTAGCCGATGAGTGGGCCTGTCGCTTTTTCTCAGCCAGTTTGAACACCTCCTCTGTCAGCCGGGGTCAATGGGGAGGTCTGGACCGTGTACCCAAAGCAGCCATTGCAGCTGCATGAGCCACAGTCCTAAATCTCGCCCATTTCCCCTCAACATCAGAAGGAGTGGGGGACGATGCCAACCCCAGCCGCAAGCGATGATGAAATTTTCGCTTGCAACTTTCATCAGCTAGCTGAGACCATGCCACTAAGGGTTTGAATGGGGTCCTGGGTGTACACCCACCACCGGAGTGGAAGAATGGCAGGCACATCTTACAGATGACAAGTCGATGGTCAGAAGGCAGACGCTGTCGTGGACAGTGCTGTGGGGGGGAGGGCCAATTCCAATTGGCCTTTCCTCTCATGGCGTCTGTGACCACCACAGCAGCTAAATGGGGGCTCTGGACGAGTGCGAGGGGCTGGTAACCCCTCCACCTTCAATTAACTTACCACTAAACTACGACCAAAAAATGTAATTAACAAGCTTGTGCCGGAGGCCCCGGGGGGGACAGGCGTCTATGACGTCTCCTGGCCAAACCCCACACATTGACTCAAGAACCGCCATTCGCCACTAAGTGGCAGTGACGTCACCACGACGCTTGTGCCAGGCCATGTGCACCTTGAGGCCACGCGAAGTGTCGAACGCCCGCTGGCAGGAGGTCACGGGGCAGACCCAGCAGGTGCCACGGGTCGACTGACCGAGATGACCGAGATGACTCACACACACACAGACAAACAAAGATACCACCCTGCCCCCCCCCCCACCACCACCACCCCATCTCCCACAAGCAGCAGCAGCAGCCCGACTGACCGTATGACGTGCGACAGCTCCTTCTCTTTCCTCTTGAGGTTCCTCCTCCTCACGCAGCACACGACCACGGCGATGGCGAGCGCGATGAGGAGGATGGGGCACACGATGGCCGCCACCAAGGACCCCACGTTCGTCTCCTTGTCTGTGGGGGGGACCCGGGGGGGGGGGGGTGGGTGAGGGGGGGGGGTCACAAAGGCCGGGGGTCAGAGACACGGAGTTCTCTCTTCTTACTCTTAGTTCTTTCGGTAAAGTCACGTAGGTAAAAAATGAAATAAAAATTAATAAAAATAAAGCAATTAATTTTTATTTTATTAATTAAAAAAATGAAATAAAAGTTAATAAAAATAAAACAATAAATTTGTATTTTATTAATTTTAATTTCATTTTTTACCTACGTGACTTTACCGAAAGAACTAAGAGCATGAATCCTTGCAGTCACGAAAGCTTCAAATCTAGAATTCTCTCTTCTTGCTTCAGAGCCTCCCTCCCTCTCTCTCTCTCTCTCCAGGTGAGGGGGGGGGCAGGTGGGGGTTGTGGCAGTTGGTTGGGGTGGGGGGGCAGGTGGGAGTTGTGGCAGTTGGTTGGGATGGGGGGGGGGGCAGGTGAGGGTTGTGGCGGTTGGTTGGGGTGGGGGGGCAGGTGGGAGTTGTGGCGGTTGGTTGGGGTGGGGGGGGGGCAGGTGGGGGTTGTGGCAGTTGGTTGGGGTGGGGGAGCAGGTGGGGGTTGTGGCAGTTGGTTGGGGTGGGGGGGGGGAGCAGGTGGGGGTTGTGGCAGTTGGTTGGGGTGGGGGGGGGCAGGTGGGGGTTGTGGCAGTTGGTTGGGGTGGGGGGGGGGGAGCTGGTGGGGGTCGTGGCAGTTGGTTGGGGTGGGGGGGGGGAGCAGGTGGGGGTTGTGGCAGTTGGTTGGGGTGGGGGGGGGGCAGGTGGGGGTTGTGGCAGTTGGTTGGGGTGGGGGGGGGGGCAGGTGGGGGTTGTGGCAGTTGGTTGGGGTGGGGGGGGGGCAGGTGGGGGTTGTGGCAGTTGGTTGGGGTGGGGGGAGCAGGTGGGGGTTGTGGCAGTTGGTTGGGGTGGGGGGAGCAGGTGGGGGTTGTGGCAGTTGGTTGGGGTAGGGGGGGAGCAGGTGGGGGTTGTGGCAGTTGGTTGGGGTGGGGGGAGCAGGTGGGGGTTGTGGCAGTTGGTTGGGGTAGGGGGGGGAGCAGGTGGGGGTTGTGGCAGTTGGTTGGGGTGGGGGGGGCAGGTGGGGGTTGTGGCAGTTGGTTGGGGTAGGGGGGGGAGCAGGTGGGGGTTGTGGCAGTTGGTTGGGGTGGGGGGGGGGAGCAGGTGGGGGTTGTGGCAGTTGGTTGGGGTGGGGGGGGGAGCAGGTGGGGGTTGTGGCAGTTGGTTGGGGTAGGGGGGGGAGCAGGTGGGGGTTGTGGAAGTTGGTTGGGGTGGGGGGGGGAGCAGGTGGGGGTTGTGGCAGTTGGTTGGGGTGGGGGGGCAGGTGGGGGTTGTGGCAGTTGGTTGGGGTGGGGGGGCAGGTGGGGGTTGTGGCAGTTGGTTGGGGTGGGGGAGGGGGGGCAGGTGGGGGTTGTGGCAGTTGGTTGGGGTAGGGGAGGGGGGGCAGGTGGGGGTTGTGGCAGTTGGTTGGGGTGGGGAAGGTGGGGGTTGTGGCAGTTGGTTGGGGTGGGGGGGGAGCAGGTGGGGGTTGTGGCAGTTGGTTGGGGTGGGGGGGGGGGAGCAGGTGGGGGTTGTGGCAGTTGGTTGGGGTGGGGGGGAGCAGGTGGGGGTTGTGGCAGTTGGTTGGGGTGGGGGGGGGAGCAGGTGGGGGTTGTGGCAGTTGGTTGGGGTGGGGGGGGAGCAGGTGGGGGTTGTGGCAGTTGGTTGGGGTGGGGGGGAGCAGGTGGGGGTTGTGGCAGTTGGTTGGGGTGGGGGGGGAGCAGGTGGGGGTTGTGGCAGTTGGTTGGGGTGGGGGGGAGCAGGTGGGGGTTGTGGCAGTTGGTTGGGGTGGGGGGGGAGCAGGTGGGGGTTGTGGCAGTTGGTTGGGGTGGGGTGGGGGGAGCAGGTGGGGGTTGTGGCAGTTGGTTGGGGTGGGGGGGCAGGTGGGAGTTGTGGCAGTTGGTTGGGGTGGGGGGGGGCAGGTGGGGGTTGTGGCAGTTGGTTGGGGTGGGGGGGGGGCAGGTGGGGGTTGTGGCAGTTGGTTGGGGTGGGGGGGCAGGTGGGAGTTGTGGCAGTTGGTTGGGGTGGGGGGGGGCAGGTGGGGGTTGTGGCAGTTGGTTGGGGTGGGGGGGGGCAGGTGGGGGTTGTGGCAGTTGGTTGGGGTGGGGGGGCAGGTGGGAGTTGTGGCAGTTGGTTGGGGTGGGGGGGCAGGTGGGAGTTGTGGCAGTTGGTTGGGGTGGGGGGGGGGCAGGTGGGGGTTGTGGCAGTTGGTTGGGGTGGGGGGGGAGCAGGTGGGAGTTGTGGCAGTTGGTTGGGGTGGGGGGGCAGGTGGGAGTTGTGGCAGTTGGTTGGGGTGGGGGGGGGGGCAGGTGGGGGTTGTGGCAGTTGGTTGGGGTGGGGGGGGGCAGGTGGGGGTTGTGGCAGTTGGTTGGGGTGGGGGGGGAGCAGGTGGGGGTTGTGGCAGTTGGTTGGGGTGGGGGGGGAGCAGGTGGGGGTTGTGGCAGTTGGTTGGGGTGGGGGGGGGGCAGGTGGGGGTTGTGGCAGTTGGTTGGGGTGGGGGGGGGGCAGGTGGGGGTTGTGGCAGTTGGTTGGGGTGGGGGGGGGCAGGTGGGGGTTGTGGCAGTTGGTTGGGGTGGGGGGGGAGCAGGTGGGGGTTGTGGCAGTTGGTTGGGGTGGGGGGGGAGCAGGTGGGGGTTGTGGCAGTTGGTTGGGGTGGGGGGGGGGCAGGTGGGGGTTGTGGCAGTTGGTTGGGGTGGGGGGGGAGCAGGTGGGGGTTGTGGCAGTTGGTTGGGGTAGGGGGGGGAGCAGGTGGGGGTTGTGGCAGTTGGTTGGGGTGGGGGGGGCAGGTGGGGGTTGTGGCAGTTGGTTGGGGTAGGGGGGGGAGCAGGTGGGGGTTGTGGCAGTTGGTTGGGGTGGGGGGGGGGGAGCAGGTGGGGGTTGTGGCAGTTGGTTGGGGTGGGGGGGGGAGCAGGTGGGGGTTGTGGCAGTTGGTTGGGGTAGGGGGGGGAGCAGGTGGGGGTTGTGGAAGTTGGTTGGGGTGGGGGGGGGGAGCAGGTGGGGGTTGTGGCAGTTGGTTGGGGTGGGGGGAAGGCAGGTGGGGGTTGTGGCAGTTGGTTGGGGTGGGGGGGCAGGTGGGGGTTGTGGCAGTTGGTTGGGGTGGGGGGCAGGTGGGGGTTGTGGCAGTTGGTTGGGGTGGGGGAGGGGGGGCAGGTGGGGGTTGTGGCAGTTGGTTGGGGTAGGGGAGGGGGGGCAGGTGGGGGTTGTGGCAGTTGGTGGGGTGGGGGGGGAGCAGGTGGGGGTCGTGGCAGTGGTTGGGGTGGGGGGGGGAGCAGGTGGGGGTTGTGGCAGTTGGTTGGGGTGGGGCAGGTGGGGGTTGTGGCAGTTGGTTGGGGTGGGGGGGGAGCAGGTGGGGGTTGTGGCAGTTGGTTGGGGTGGGGGGGGGGAGCAGGTGGGGGTTGTGGCAGTTGGTTGGGGTGGGGGGGAGCAGGTGGGGGTTGTGGCAGTTGGTTGGGGTGGGGGGGAGCAGGTGGGGGTTGTGGCAGTTGGTTGGGGTGGGGGGGGAGCAGGTGGGGGTTGTGGCAGTTGGTTGGGGTGGGGGGGAGCAGGTGGGGGTTGTGGCAGTTGGTTGGGGTGGGGGGGGAGCAGGTGGGGGTTGTGGCAGTTGGTTGGGGTGGGGGGGGAGCAGGTGGGGGTTGTGGCAGTTGGTTGGGGTGGGGGGGGAGCAGGTGGGGGTTGTGGCAGTTGGTTGGGGTGGGGTGGGGGGAGCAGGTGGGGGTTGTGGCAGTTGGTTGGGGTGGGGGGGGAGCAGGTGGGGGTTGTGGCAGTTGGTTGGGGTGGGGGGGGGCAGGTGGGGGTTGTGGCAGTTGGTTGGGGTGGGGGGGGGCAGGTGGGGGTTGTGGCAGTTGGTTGGGGTGGGGGGGGGGGCAGGTGGGGGTTGTGGCAGTTGGTTGGGGTGGGGGGAGGGCAGGTGGGGGTTGTGGCAGTTGGTTGGGGTGGGGGGGGGCAGGTGGGGGTTGTGGCAGTTGGTTGGGGTGGGGGGGAGCAGGTGGGGGTTGTGGCAGTTGGTTGGGGTGGGGGGGGGGCAGGTGGGGGTTGTGGCAGTTGGTTGGGGTGGGGGGGGGCAGGTGGGGGTTGTGGCAGTTGGTTGGGGTGGGGGGGCAGGTGGGAGTTGTGGCAGTTGGTTGGGGTGGGAAGGGGGCAGGTGGGGGTTGTGGCAGTTGGTTGGGGTGGGGGGGGGCAGGTGGGGGTTGTGGCAGTTGGTTGGGGTGGGGGGGCAGGTGGGAGTTGGGGCAGTTGGTTGGGGTGGGGGGGGGGGCAGGTGGGGGTTGTGGCAGTTGGTTGGGGTGGGGGGGGGCAGGTGGGGGTTGTGGCAGTTGGTTGGGGTGGGGGGGCAGGTGGGAGTTGTGGCAGTTGGTTGGGGTGGGGGGGCAGGTGGGAGTTGTGGCAGTTGGTTGGGGTGGGGGGGGGGGCAGGTGGGGGTTGTGGCAGTTGGTTGGGGTGGGGGGGGGAGCAGGTGGGAGTTGTGGCAGTTGGTTGGGGTGGGGGGGGCAGGTGGGGGTTGTGGCAGTTGGTTGGGGTGGGGGGGGAGCAGGTGGGGGTTGTGGCAGTTGGTTGGGGTGGGGGGGGAGCAGGTGGGGGTTGTGGCAGTTGGTTGGGGTGGGGGGGGGGCAGGTGGGGGTTGTGGCAGTTGGTTGGGGTGGGGGGGGAGCAGGTGGGGGTTGTGGCAGTTGGTTGGGGTGGGGGGGGAGCAGGTGGGGGTTGTGGCAATTGGTTGGGGTGGGGGGGGAGCAGGTGGGGGTTGTGGCAGTTGGTTGGGGTGGGGGGGGAGCAGGTGGGGGTTGTGGCAGTTGGTTGGGGTGGGGGGGGGCAGGTGGGGGTTGTGGCAGTTGGTTGGGGTGGGGGGGGAGCAGGTGGGGGTTGTGGCAGTTGGTTGGGGTGGGGGGGGAGCAGGTGGGGGTTGTGGCAGTTGGTTGGGGTGGGGGAGCAGCAGGTGGGGGTTGTGGCAGTTGGTTGGGGTGGGGGGAGCAGGTGGGGGTTGTGGCAGTTGGTTGGGGTGAGGGGGGGCAGGTGGGGGTTGTGGCAGTTGGTTGGGGTGGGGGGGCAGGGCAGGTGGGAGTTGTGGCAGTTGGTTGGGGTGGGGGGGGGCAGGTGGGGGTTGTGGCAGTGGTTGGGGTGGGGGGGGAGGAGCAGGTGGGGGTTGTGGCAGTTGGTTGGGGTGGGGGGGGGGCAGGTGGGGGTTGTGGCAGTTGGTTGGGGTGGGGGGGCAGGTGGGAGTTGTGGCAGTTGGTTGGGGTGGGGGGGGGGCAGGTGGGGGTTGTGGCAGTTGGTTGGGGTGGGGGGGCAGGTGGGAGTTGTGGCAGTTGGTTGGGGTGGGGGGGGGAGCAGGTGGGGGTAGTGGCAGTTGGTTGGGGTGGGGGGGCAGGTGGGAGTTGTGGCAGTTGGTTGGGGTGGGGGGGGGCAGGTGGGGGTTGTGGCAGTTGGTTGGGGTGGGGGGGCAGGTGGGGGTTGTGGCAGTTGGTTGGGGTGGGGGGGGATCAGGTGGGGGTAGTGGCAGTTGGTTGGGGTGGGGGGGGGGAGCAGGTGGGGGTTGTGGCAGTTGGTTGGGGTGGGGGGGGAGCAGGTGGGGGTTGTGGCAGTTGGTTGGGGTGGGGGGGGCAGGTGGGGGTCGTGGCAGTTGGTTGGGGTGGGGGGGAGCAGGTGGGGGTTGTGGCAGTTGGTTGGGGTGGGGGGGGGGCAGGTGGGGGTTGTGGCAGTTGGTTGGGGTGGGGGGGGGCAGGTGGGGGTTGTGGCAGTTGGTTGGGGTGGGGGGGAGCAGGTGGGGGTTGTGGCAGTTGGTTGGGGTGGGGGGGTGGGTGAGCTGGATGGAGTGGGTAGGGTGGGTAGGGTGGGGCGAGTGAAACAACTGGGTGGGGAGTGGTGGGACAACGGTGAGGGTAGAGCGAGTCCTCACGCTGTGCGATGTGGAGCTGCTGCTCGCAGGAGTCTGTCCCCACTGTGTTGGTGGCCGTGCAGCGGTACGTCCCCGCGTACGCCAGAGTCGCGTTCTTCAGCGCCAGCGTGCCCACTTCCATTTCTGCAATGCGTACGGAGGGGGTGAGAGGGGGGGGGGGCAGTAAATTAACAAATAAAAACGTTGCCTGCTTAGCGAGCAGCATTGTATGCACATTATGTACAGTGACGTTATTATAATGACAATGAGTTCAGTTTGATATCACAGTCTAAACGAAACTCAACTAATCTTTCTTACAAGGTTTTTTTTTCTTTTCGGTAAAGTCACGTAGGTAAAAAAAAAGATAAATAATAAAAATAATAGAAGAAATAATAGAAATAAAAGAAAAATGTTATTATGGATCTTTTATTATTTATTTACTTTACCTACGTGACTTACCGAAAAAAACCTAAGAGTATGAATCCTTGCAGTCACGAAAGCTTCACATCTAGAATTAATCTTTCTTATACACATGTTGAGGAGTGGAGTGCTGACGTCAGGTCACACTCGCCTCGGGGGGGAATGCCGTCAAGGAAGAGTGACGTCATGCCCCCCGGGGTATTTGAGGGAAGACCCGTGACGTGGACGGGGTCTTCGCGGTGAGCCAGAAGAGTGAGTGTTAGGGGAGTAGGGGGCTCCGGGATAGAGGGTTGAGAGCCAGGCTAAAGGGCTACTTTACCCGGCTGGCCGAGTTGGTTGAACCCTCGGTCAGTGCTGTGGGAAGAGCCCGATAGCCTGGTAGGGTGTATGAGCTCCCAGTACCCTTCCCCTGGGGAGATTAGTTAGTACCAAGTTGTGTTAACCCCTTCCCACGAGTTAGGCGCAAGCCCTTAAATAAACAGTTTGGCGTCCATTTTAGATTTGAAGCTTTCGTGACTGCAAGGATTCATACTCTTAGGTTTTTTCGGTAAAGTCACGTAGGTGTAAAATAAAAATAATAGAAGTAATAATAGCAATAAAATAATGGCGTCAGCCCCTACACGACTGGCTTCAGCGTCGTTCTTACCACACAACACATGGGTAAGGCCCTCCGCCGAGCCATGTAGCCCTGTCAGAAGCGAACCGGGCTATTGTCGATGATAGCTCGGCGAAGTGGCTGATCGTCGTCACCATCATCGTCATCGTCACGTGGAAATTCATGGTAGTAGACAAATTACTCTAAACTCATAGAGACCCACAGACACACACAGAGATACTTACAGCCATAGTGACCCAAACAAGTGCATACAGCCCCATAGAGATACACAGAGACCCATAGAGATACATAGAGATCCACAGAGCCTCATAGATACACAGACAGGCCCGTCACTGTATGGTGCCGGCCTGGAACGGTCGTGCCGTTCCATGTTCCCACATCGTGGCTAGTACCGTGTGGGTGTCTGTGTGTAGCACCAGCCCTAGCGGAGCTTGTCGAGCACTGGGATAGGTGCGGGCACCACGCACAGCTTGTGCTGGGGGCTCCCACGAGGGGGAGGGGGTGAGTGTCAACCCAGGGGCAGGGTTGCCCCGGGCCGTGGCACTCTGGTTGACCCCGTAGACACGTGATCCGGAGTGTCCACCACACAGGGGGTCCCAGGTGGGGGGGGGGGGGGGCTAGTGGGTGATCACGTGTCTGGAGAGAGCTCTTGAGAGGGATCGAGAGGAAACGAGAACGTTCGGGAAGGCGGACGGGGCCGGGGGCGGAGCGGCCCCGACCGTAGGGGGATACGGGTAGTCCCCGACTTACGATATTTTGATCTTATGATAGCGATACGACAAAATTGCCATCAACAACCTAACGTCGTTCAAGTATGCAGACGACGGACAGAATAGCTTGGCGAGTACAGAACAATATGATACGTTACGATACATTCAATGCATGTTAAAAGTTTTTTTTATAGCAGATAGGATTGTTTCCTGAAAATGTTTTCTATTAAATCGCAGTTCATATAGGTAGGCTAAGAATTTACCTTGTTTTTTTTACTGCACGTTTTACTGTGCAATACAGTATTGTAATTAATCAATACATACAGTGTATAGTTTATACAGTACGCTACTGTAAATTGCTCTGTTTTGCTAAATTATCTCCATTCTTTAAGACTCTTGGGTAGGCTATAGGCCATCTTCGACTTACGATATTTTAGACTTACGATGATGGGGTCGTCGTAACGCATCTCCATCGTAAGTAGAGGACTGCCTGTACAAGGCGGCTCCCTGAGAGGGACCAGGGTCTCTCTTCGTCGCTCTACAAGCTGCAAGTTCCGCGTCTCAAGCTGCAAGCGCCTCGTCATACGGGGGACCACGTGGTCGGAGACCCGAGCGAGTGTCCGACCCTTCGTAGCAGTAACCCCCCTGTATGGCGTAGTTAGCTGGGTGGTCACCACCCTAGGTTGTATCTGGTTAAAGGGGCAGTTACGCCTTTGCGTTACGGTGTTACAAATAAAGGTGTTGCCTTAGTTGTACTCTTCTTGGTTCTTTCGGTAAAGTCACGTAGAAGGGAAATAATAAAATAATAAAAATAAAACATAATAACATAATTCTCACGACGTTTCGGCCACAACGCAAGCAGCCGTCCTCAGGTGAAGAACAGGTCTGTCGGAAAGAACAGGTCTGCTGGAAAGACAACGCCGTCTTTCCGACAGACCTGTTCTTCACCTGAAGACGGCTGCTTGCGTTGTGGCCGAAACGTCGTGAGATTTGTATTTTATTATGTTTTATTTTTATTATTTTATTATTTCCCTTCTACGTGACTTTACCGAAAGAACCAAGAAGATGAATCCCTGCAGTCACGAAAGCTTTAAATCGAAATTTAGTTGTACTCACTACAGGTGCATAGAGCCCGACATAGATACATAGTGACATACATGGACTAAACCATTTTGTATTATGCCAGTTAAGGCCGCAATGTGCTGTGTAGCTATACTCTTAGTTCTTTCGGTAAAGTCACCATGTAGGTAAAAAATGAAATTAAAATTAATAAAAATAAAACAATAAAATCACGACGTTTCGGAGGCAACACAAGTCTCCGTCATCAGGTGGGACCGTTACAGCCAGATTTGCTGCATCAAGTGAGGGAGGGATTCAAGATGCAAATTCTTAAGTACCAGTTAAGGGGGGAGGATAGGGGGGGAGGAGCTTATCAGAATGTGGTAGCCAATGAATGGAACGTATCGGGAGGGGGGGGCGGGGCTAAAACAGGGCACGGGGTACTCGTGGGCGTTGACGTGTTTGTGCGCAAGTCACTGTGGATGCACATGATAGAAAGCTGCGTAGCGCTTCTTCAGAAGCGACCTGGCGATCAGAACGATGGCAGCTCAACCAAGCGGCTGTTTGTCGTCCATCACGTGGAGCGCGTGAAGTTGATTCTAAACGTGGAGGGAGGAGGACCCGGAGTAAAATCCACGCGACCACGGGGAGAGAGAGAGAGACACCGCAAACTCCAAACATGCACCAGGCTTCAGGGTCGGAATGGAACCAACAACCTCCTGTACACCAGGCGAGGGAGTTCACATCTCCTAGCCACCGTGATGATGATGAGAGAGAGAGACAACACAACCTCCAAACATGCAGCAGGCTTCAGTCGGAATGGAACCAACAACCTCCTGTACACCAGGCGAGGGAGTTCACATCTCCTAGCCACCGTGATGATGATGAGAGAGACACCGCAAACTCCAAACATACAGCAGGCTTCAGGGTCGGAATGAACCAACAACCTCCTGCATACCAGGTGAGGGAGTTCACATCTCCTAGCCACCGTGATGATGATGAGAGAGAGAGACACCGCAACCTCCAAACATGCAGCAGGCTTCAGTCGGAATGGAACCAACAACCTCCTGTACACCAGGCGAGGGAGTTCACATCTCCTAGCCACCGTGATGATGATGAGAGAGAGAGAGAGACAACGCAACCTCCAAACATGCAGCAGGCTTCAGGGTCGGAATGAACCAACAACCTCCTGTATACCAGGCGAGGGAGTTCACATCTCCTAGCCACCGTGATGATGATGAGAGAGAGACAGACAACGCAACCTCCAAACATACAGCAGGCTTCAGGGTCGGAATGGAACCAACAACCTCCTGTATACCAGGCGAGGGAGTTCACATCTCCTAGCCACCACGGCAACCCATGATTGTGAGCAGCAAAGGGTCAGCGACCCCACAATCATTAAAAACAACCCAGAGCCCTGGCCTGTTGACCATATAATAGGCCTTGACCAGGCCACACAAAGACAACAACAGAATGTTGGGGTAAGTGCTGTTAGCGAGCAGCAGCAGCAGCAGCATGCCGAGCCGACTTTGTCTCCCAGGTGGCGATGTTTACTATACACCACCACCACGACCGCACCAGGTAACTCATTTGAGGCCGAGTCGACCTAGGGGAGGCTCAAGACCGGTTCAGATAATCGTCACCGGTGTTGGCCGTGAGCAGGAATCGAACTCGGATCACCAGTTTTGAAGCTTTCGTGACTGCAAGGATTCATACTCTTAGGTTTTTTCGGTAAAGTCACAATAAATAGTGAAAATAAATAATACAAATTTTTAAACAATTGAAATAATAGAAATAAAATAATAAATCACTTTCATTATTTCTATTATTTTTCTTATTTATGAATTAGTGAATATTATTTATTTATTTTTACCTACGTGACTTTACCGAAAAAACCTAAGAGTAACGGATCACCGGGTTCGCAGCGCAGCGCTCACTGCTACACCACCAACTCCCCACTACAGACACACACAAGCGCACTCAAAGACAAACGCGCACGTGCGCTATACACAACAACCGTCATTCGCCACAAGGTGGTGCGCTTGTGCCAGGCCATGTGCACGTTGAGGCCACGTGAGATGACGAACGCCCGTTGGCAGGAGGTCACGGGACAGATCCAGCAGGTGCCACGGGTCGACTGACTGAGATGAGTGGCTGATGTACCTCTTGTGCCCAATACTGTGCCAACTAGCTGTGCTTTAGCCACCCGGCGCTCCGCTCGTTGTTGTGAGCATCGCTCCTCTGCCCTCTGTTGTTGTTGCAGCGTCCTTCACGAGCCTCCTCCACAGAGGCCGATCTTGACACCGCTGGTATCAGCCATCGGTAAAGTCCACTCAGCTCCACATCCTCTTGTACCACATCAGCTCCATCTCGTATCTAGCCCGTGCCGTGCCCGTTTAGCCCCCTCTATCTGGCCGAACAAAAGCTGTTTAGGCATGCGGTGGCTGGGCATGTGGGCTACATGACCCACCTACCTTCACACACACACACACACTGACTGTTACACTTACCACCACCACCACCACAAACACAGCACCACCACAAACACAGCACCATCACCACCACCACACACAGCACCACCACCACCACCACACACAGCACCACCACAAACACAGCACCTTCACCACCACCACACACACCACCACCACACACAACCAACATCACCACCACCACACACACACACTACACACACTACACACACACGCGCACGGCATTCATACAGGCACAGAGACACGGACCTTGCTTGGCGGTGGACGGCATGCTGCCGCCGATGCCTCCCGTGTAGGTCCAGGTGTAGGTGATGGGGGCGGTGCCCTCGGTGCTGACGCAGCCGAGCACCAGATCCTCCCCCACAGCCGGCGAGCCGCTCTTAATGGAGCAGCGCGTGGCACTCGGGACCGCTGGTCAAGCAATGAGAACGACGCAATGAGGAACGTCGCAATGAGGAACGTCGCAATGAGGAACGTCACAATGAAGAAAGTCGCAATGAGGAACGTCGCAATGAGGAATCTCGCAATGAAGAACATCGCAATGAGGAACGTCGCAATGAGGAACGTCACAATGAGGAACGTCACAATGAGGAACGACGCTAACGTGGAATGTCGAAATGAGGAACGACGCAATGAGGAACGTTGCAATGTGGAGCGTCGCAATGAAGAACATCGCAATGTGGAATGTCGCAATGATAAAAGTTGCAATACACAGAACTTCACAATGAGCAGAACATCACAATTCTTTTCCAGCCCGTGCCACTCACTATCTCAATACCAACACCGAAACTACCAATACACGCCGTTCACCACTAAGTGACGGTGACATCACCGCGGCACCCGTGCCAGGCCAGGCTCACTCTCCCACCCACTCAATCACCTCAACACACCCACTTACCGTGCCACTCACTCACCCATCAAGTCCATCTCTTCTCCAGCCCATTTCACTCACTCACTCACTCACCCACTCACCAATTAATCCATCTCTTTTCTAGCCCATGCCACTCACCCACCCACTCACCCACCCACTCACCTATCAGTTCATCTCTTCTCTAGCCCATACCACTCACTCGCTCACTCACCTATCAGTCCAGCTCATCTCTAGCCCGTGCCACTCATCCATCCACTCATTCATTCACCCACCCATGCACCTACCCACCGACTCACCTACATACTCACCCACCAATCAGTCGATCTCTTCTATAGCCTGTGTCACTCACTCATTCACTCACCTACTCAGCCATCAGTCCATCTCTTCTCTAGCCTGTGCCACTCACTCACCCACCCACCCACCCACTCACCCATCACGTAATCTCTTCTCTAGCCCGTGTCACTCACTCACTCACTCACCCACTCACCTATCATTCCATTTCTTTTCTCGCCCGTGCCACTCACCCACTCAACTATCAGTCCGGCTCATCTTTAGCCCATGCCACTCATCCATCCACTCATTCACTCACCCACCCACGCACCTACCCACCGACTCACCTACATACTCACCCACCAATCAGTCAATCTCTTCTCCAGCCCGTGTCACTCACCCACTCACCCACCCATCACGTAATCTCTTCTCGAACCCGTGTCACTCACTCACCCCACAGAGCACCACCTCCTTCCCACCACCATCTCCACCCCACCTTCCCCAACACCCCCCTCTCCCACCCCACCCCCCCCCCTTAACCCCCCTCTCCCACACCACATCTCACCCATGACGGTAAGCGCGATGGTGCGGCTGGCGGTGCCGGGCATCTGCTTCACTTTGCACAGGAAGGTGCCGGTGTCGTGGGTGCCGAGCTGGGACAGCTCCACGGAGGCGTCACCCATCGACGGATCGGCGAGCGTGAACCGGACGCGGCCGCGGTGCGCCGGCGATGTGTCGGTGTACGTGCGGCTCCCCGTGTAAGTGGCGAACTGATTGGGGGGGGGGGGGGGGGGATGGACCGGCCATACAGCCAGGGGGCGGGAGCGGTTAACACTGAACACAACAACAACACAACAACTACACAACATGATAATAGTTTTTTTACCCTTTTATCTGGCAATAAAACTGACACCTTTTTTTACAAGGAGTCATGTTTGCATAGACCACAATACCTGCGGTCGTAATGCAAACAAAAAACATAACTCTGATCATGTATGCACTATCCTTGAAGTTGATTGGTCCACACCCAGGATAGCTTTCCTTAGAGCCTAGTCTCACATGGTGTTGGACCAGATGATGCCAAAAAGTGTGTACTGGCTGTAGTAGTAGCTATACTAACTCTATAACAGTGTGTACTGGCTGTAGTAGAAGCTATACTAACTCTACAGCAGTGTGTACTGGCTGTAGTAGTAGCTACACTAACTCTATAGCAGTGTGTACTGGCTGTAGTAGTAGCTATACTAACTCTACAGCAGTGTGTACTGGCTGTAGTAGTAGCTACACTAACTCTATAGCAGTGTGTACTGGCTGTAGTAGTAGCTATACTAACTCGATAGCAAATTTCGATTTAAGGCTTTCGTGACTGCAGGGATTCATCTTCTTGGTTCTTTCGGTAAAGTCACGTAGAAGGGAAGTAATAAAATAATAAAAATAAAACATAACAAAATAATTCTCACGACGTTTCGGCCACAACAAAAGCAGCCGTCCTCAGGTGAAGACCAGGTCTGTCGGGGAGACAGCGTCTGAATGAGGACGGCTGCTTGCGTTGTCACCTGAGGACGGCTGCTTGCGTTGTGGCCGAAACGTCGTGAGAATTATTTTATGTTTTATTTTTATTATTTTATTACTTCCCTTCTACGTGACTTTACCGAAAGAACCAAGAAGATGAACTCTATAGCAGTGTGTACTGGCTGTAGTAGTAGCTACACTAACTCTACAGCAGTGTGTACTGGCTGTAGTAGTAGCTATACTAACTCTATAGCAGTGTGTACTGGCTGTAATAGTAGCTATACTAACTCTATAGCAGTGTGTACTGGCTGTAGTAGTAGCTACACTAACTCTATAGCAGTGTGTACTGGCTGTAGTAGTAGCTATAATAACTGTACAGCAGTGTGTGCTGGCTGCAGAAGTAGCTATACTAACTCTATAGCAGTATGTACTGGCTGTAGTAGTAGCTATACTAACTCTATAACAGTGTGTACTGGCTGTAGTAGTAGCTATACTAACTCTATAGCAGTGTGTACTGGCTGTAGTAGTAGCTATACTAACTCTATAACAGTGTGTACTGGCTGTAGTAGTAGCTATACTAACTCTATAACAGCGTGTACTGGCTGTAGTAGTAGCTATACTAACTCTATAGCAGTGTGTACTGGCTGTAGTAGTAGCTACACTAACTCTACAGCAGTGTGTACTGGCTGTAGTAGTAGCTACACTAAATCTATAACAGCATGTACTGGCTGTAGTAGTAGCTATACTAACTCTATAACAGTGTGTACTGGCTGTATTAGTAGCTATACTAACTCTATAGCAGTGTGTACTGGCTGTAGTAGTAGCTATACTAACTCTATAGCAGTGTGTACTGGCTGTAGTAGTAGCTATACTAACTCTATAACAGTGTGTACTGGCTGTAGTAGTAGCTATACTAACTCTATAACATTGTGTACTGGCTGTAGTAGTAGCTATACTAACTCTATAACAGTGTGTACAGGCTGTAGTAGTAGCTATACTAACTCTATAGCAGTGTGTACTGGCTGTATTAGTAGCTATACTAACTCTATAGCAGTGTGTACTGGCTGTAGTAGTAGCTACACTAACTCTACAGCAGTGTGTAATGGCTGTAGTAGTAGCTATACTAACTCTACAGCAGTGTGTACTGGCTGTAGTAGTAGCTACACTAACTCTACAGCAGCGTGTACTGGCTGTAGTAGTAGCTACACTAACTCTATAGCAGTGTGTATTGGCTGTAGTAGTAGCTATACTAACTCTATAGCAGTGTGTACTGGCTTTAGTAGTAGCTATACTAACTCTACAGCAGTGTGTACTGGCTGTAGTAGTAGCTATACTAACTCTATAGCAGTGTGTACTGGCTGTAGTAGTAGCTACACTAACTCTACAGCAGCGTGTACTGGCTGTAGTAGTAGCTACACTAACTCTACAGCAGCGTGTACTGGCTGTAGTAGTAGCTATACTAACTCTATAGCAGTGTGTACTGGCTGTAGTAGTAGCTATACTAACTCTATAGCAGTGTGTACTGGCTTTAGTAGTAGCTATACTAACTCTACAGCAGTGTGTACTGGCTGTAGTAGTAGCTATACTAACTCTATAGCAGCGTGTACTGGCTGTAGTAGTAGCTATACTAACTCTATATCAGTGTGTACTGGCTGTAGTAGAAGCTACACTAACTCTACAGCAGTGTGTAATGGCTGTAGTAGTAGCTATACTAACTCTACAGCAGTGTGTACTGGCTGTAGTAGTAGCTATACTAACTCTATAGCAGTGTGTACTGGCTGTAGTAGTAGCTACACTAACTCTACAGCAGCGTGTACTGGCTGTAGTAGTAGCTACACTAACTCTACAGCAGCGTGTACTGGCTGTAGTAGTAGCTACATTAACTCTATAGCAGTATGTACTGGCTGTAGTAGTAGCTACATTAACTCTATAGCAGTGTGTACTGGCTGTAGTAGTAGCTATACTAACTCTATAGCAGTGTGTACTGGCTGTAGTAGTAGCTACACTAACTCTATAGCAGTGTGTACTGGCTGTAGTAGTAGCTACACTAACTCTATAGCAGTGTGTACTGGCTGTATTAGTAGCTATACAAACTCTATAATAGTACTAACTTCACAGAGGGTAGTAGTAAGGCCTAGTCCCGTGCAGAGCCCCTGGCCTTGCCTAGATTGCCCAGCCGGCCAAGGTGGCACCTTTGCAGGCTGGGGCTGGGCTGCTACCCCCCCCACCATCCCCCGCCTACGATACAGTAATAGTATCTAAGGGCTATAATAGTAGTATCTACTGACCCTATAGTAGTAAGTGCACACATTGGGGTAGGGGGGGGGAGATTAGAAGACATCACACTTAGAAGAATTGACCTCAACGTTGTCTATTTTTTTTGCATCTTTAACGCGAATGAAAATTCCCCCCTCCCCCCACCGATCACGTGTGTGCGTTGCTAGCGGCAACCACGGGTCAGCTTTCTCGCACATGCGCAGATGTGTGCTTTGGCTCGCGCTCAGCGTAGTAATATAATAATTTATAGTACTAAATTGTAAATTTGACTACTTTCATGTTGACAGATGTGAAATACGAATAGCGCTTTTTCGTCCCTGGGCATACGGCATGGTATCCGTGTACTTTTTCGACACGTAAACCCCACAGTTTGTCAGTTAAAACCGTCTCAAGGTACCCACGCAGACAGACAGACATACACGTAGACACACAGACAGACATAAAATGACTAATATCTATATATATAAAATCGTGAATGTCTGTCTGTCCGTCTGTGTGTGTGTGTGTGGATTTCGGACCATACGCACTTTCATTGGACGGCGGTTGCCCCTGGCAACGGATAGCGACGCCTTCGCCGCTTTCATTGGACCTGGCAACGGCTAGCGACGCCTTCGCCAAGGGCTGCAGTTTCATTGGACGGCGGTTGCCCCTGCCAACGGCTAGCCACGCCTTCGCCACTTTCATAGGCTCCGTAAATAATTAAATAATAGCCATTACACAGTATTGTTGGAGCGCTGGGGGGGGGGGGGGAAGGAACGCCACCCGTACCCTGCCTCTGCCGGGTGGACAATTTAGGCGAGGCCGCAGGCTCTGCACGCTACTAGGCCTCGACACCCACCACGCCACTCTGAGGTAAATTCATCAAAGTTTTTCCTACTCTTCACTCCACCCCCACCACAATGTGTGCAATTTATATTACTTTTAAACCCAACGCGCCAACAATCGATTACTTAAATGGTCACTGTACAAATAGTCACTAAGCTGGATCAGCGTACTGCCAGTCTATCATGTACACTGTAGCTTGCTTATTAAGCTCGGTGAGCGTACTGCCACTCTATCAGGTACACTCTAGCCTGCTTATGAAGCTGACTGCGTGTACTGGCAGTCTATAATGTGGACTGTAGCCTGGTTATTATAATCGATTCTTTATATGTTCTTTGTACAAATAGTCATTAAGCTGGTTGAGCGACCCCAGTTCGATTCCAACTCACGCCCACCACCGCTGACGATTATTTGAAACGGACCTGGCCCTCCCCTAGGTCCACTCAGCCTCAAACGCGTAACTGCTGTCGTGTGTGAACATCGTCACTGGGGAGACAAAGGCGGCCGGGCATCGTGGATCCAAGTCCCGGGCGAAGCCGGGTCATGTATATGTGTGTATGTGTTTATGTGTATGTCTGTGTGTCTCTATGTATGTGTGTATGTATGTGTGTGTATGTCTTTGTGTGTGTGTGTATGTATGTGGGATTTTTTCTATGTCTTTATGTGTATGTCTGCGTGTCTGTATGTATGTGTGTATGTACGTGTGTGCATGTGCTTGTGTGTATGTATGTGTGTGTCTATGTATGTGTGTGTATGTCTTTCTGTGTATGTATGTGTGTATGTATGTGTGTTATGTGTCTGTCTGTGTGTCTGCATGTATGTGTGTATTGTGTATGTGTTTGTATGTGTTTGTGTGTTTACGCTCGCATTACACAAATTTGTTGCAGGTCTAAGGCGTTCCTTGCGCTGCATTGCCGCTTTATTATTTCAGTCGTTTACTGCCGTACGCACCCTGAAAGTCGTGTGTGTCTGCAGCAAGTGCGTGTATGTGTACCTATGGACGCGCGCGCGTGTGTTGTGTAGGGGGAACGGTAGTGTAGTGCTTAGCGTGCTGCCTGTGTCTGTGTGTGTGTGTCTGTGTGTGTGTGTCTGTGTGTGTGTGTCTGTGTGTGTGTCTGTGTGTGTGTCTGTGTGTGTGCGTGTGTGGTGTGTGGGGAGCGGTAGTGTAGTGGTTAGCGTGCTGTCTGTGTGTGTGTGTGTCTCTGTCTGTGTGTGTCTGCGTGTGTCTGTGTGTGTGTGTGTGTCTGTGCGTGTGTGGTGTGTGAGGAGCGGTGGGTGTAGTGCTTAACGCTACGCTGCGCTACCAACCCGGCGAACCCAGTTCCATTCCCGCTCACGGCCACCACCGGTGACGATTATTTGAACCTCCCCTAGGTCGACTCTGCCTCAAACGAGTAACTGCTGTAGCGTATTAACATCGCCACTGGGGAGACAAAGGCGGCCGGCCGTGGTGGATACAAGTCCCGGGCGAAGCCGGGTAGTACAGCTAGTAGGTAAGATAAATGTGTATGCTTCATTGCTTATCTTACGCTCTCTAAGTTGCCATTGAGTCTCCCAGCATATTTGGCAGCACCCAAAGATTCTCATTTCCTCGCCGGTCCGAAAAAACCCAGCAGCTCCAAACGGGTCCAATGAGGACACCCATGAGTAGCCAGAGTCTCTCTCATCATCATCATCATCACGGTGGCTAGGAGATGTCAACTCCCTCGCCTGGTATACAAGAGGTCGTGGGTTCGATCACGACCCCTGACTATGGCTGCTGCTGTATATTTGGAGTTTGCGTGTCTCTCTCATCATCATCATCACGGTGGCTAGGAGATGTCAACTCCCTCGCCTGGTATACAAGAGGTCGTGGGTTCGATCACGACCCCTGACTATGGCTGCTGCTGTATATTTGGAGTTTGCGTGTCTCTCTCATCATCATCATCACGGTGGTTAGATATTAACTCCCTCGCCTGATATGCAGGAGGCCATGGGTTCGATCCCGACGCCTGCTGCTGTATATTTGGAGTCTGAGCATCTCTCTCTCTCTCTCTCATCATCATCACGGTGGCTGGGAGATGTTAACTACCTCGCCTGGTATATAGGAGGTCGTGGGTTCGATCCTGACCACGACGCCTGCCGTATATTTGGAGTCTGCGCGTCTCTCTCATCATCACGGTGGCTAGGAGAGGTTAACTCCCACGTCTGGTATACAGGAGGCCATGGGTTCGATCCCGACGCCAGCTGTATATTTGGAGTCTGAGCATCTCTCTCTCTCATCATCATCATCACGATGGCGAGGAGATGTTAACTCCTTCGCCTGGTATACAGGAGGTCGTGGGTTCGATCCTGACGCCTGCCGTATATTTGGAGTCTGCGCCTCTCTCTTACCCCGCGGTGGTCACTGTGTGGATTTTTCCCCGGGTCCTCCGGTTTTCCTCTCCACATTTAGAATAAACGTCACGTGTTCAGAGTGATTTTGCTGCTGCTTTAAATGTCCACGGTGATGATAATATCAGTAACTTGTTGAGCTGCCATCATTTGTGATGGTCAGATCGCTTCTGAAAATGGACTTAGATATGGCTCTGTGGTCTTTACCTGGTAACATGCAGTTCAAAAAGAGAGAGAGATTTAGATTTAAAGCTTTCACTACTGCAGGAATTCATATTCTTGGTTCTTTCGGTAAAGTCGCGTAGATAGAAAACAAAAATCAAGTGGGTTTTTTGCTTTCAATTGAGATTTTTGCCTTCTATCTACGCGACTTGACCGAAAGAACCAAGGATATGAGAGAGATAGAGCTGAATTGCATGGACCTCATGACAGAGACCGAGAGAGGGACAGCGAAACAGAGACAAAGAAATTGAGACAGTGAAAGAGAGACAGAGAGACACAGAGAGACAGAAAGAGAGAGAGACAAAGAAAGAGAGAAAGAGAGACAGAGAGATAGAAACAGAGCGAGCTATCATTCGTAACGGCCAGGTCGCGTCTGAACAGGAGCTACGTAGCATTTCAGTGAGGCCCCCCGATACGCCTGGTCAAATGAAACAAAACAAAAATTTGCGTGACATTTGTGAATGCCAGGGGCCGATTTATAGTGCCCGTCCATGACCACCGGCGGGGGTTTACGCCTCTCTGCCTGCGGCCTGTTGTTCCTCTCCCTCCGTAGTACCATGATGCCCGGCTTTTTGTCGGATGGCACAAAAATCCACTCGATGTCCAGGACTCCGACGTCTTGGGCCGTGACGGAGAAGGCGCAGGCCAGGGACACGGAGGCTCCCTGCAGCTTCTGGATCACCTCGCCGCCCGTCGACGTGATTGTGAGCGCCAGGGACGTGCCTACAACACAGACGACGCACGGACACAAGCGGGAGAGGATTAACGGACTGTTGGGGGGGGCGAGGGGCGTACGTGTGCACACACTCACACACACTCTCTCTCACTCGCTCACTCAATCAATCAATCACACTCACACACGCTCACACGCTCTCTCACGCTCGCTCGCTCAATCAATCACACTCACACTCGCTCTCTCAATCAATCACACACTCAATCACACTCACACACACTCCCTCAATCAATCACACACTCACACATACTTTCTCTCACTCGCTCACTCAATCACACTCACACACACTCACTCAATCAATCACACACTCACACACACTCTCTCTCACGCTCGCTCGCTCAATCAATCAATCACACTCACACACACTCTCTCTCACTCGCTCACTCAATCAATCACACTCACTCACACTCGCTCTCTCAATCAATCACACTCACACTCGCTCTCTCAATCAATCACACACTCAATCACACTCACACACACTCCCTCAATCAATCACACACTCACACATACTTTCTCTCACTCGCTCACTCAATCACACTCACACACACTCACTCAATCAATCACACACTCACACACACTCTCTCTCACGCTCGCTCGCTCAATCAATCAATCACACTCACTCTCTCTCACTCGCTCACTCAATCAATCACACTCACACTCTCTCTCACACTCGCTCGCTCAATCAATCACACTCACTCACTCACACTCTCTCTCACTCGCTCACTCAATCAATCACACTCACTCACACTCGCTCTTTCACGCTCGCTCGCTCAATCAATCACACTCACACTCTCTCTCACACTCGCTCGCTCAATCAATCACACTCACTCACTCACACTCGCTCACTCAATCAATCACACTCACACTCTCTCTCACACTCGCTCGCTCAATCAATCAATCACACTCACACACACTCTCTCTCACTCGCTCACTCAATCAATCACACTCACTCACACTCGCTCTCTCACGCTCGCTCGCTCAATCAATCACACTCACACTCGCTCGCTCAATCAATCAATCACACTCACACACACTCTCTCTCACTCGCTCACTCAATCAATCACACTCACACTCGCTCGCTCAATCAATCACTCTCGCTCAATCACACGCACTCACTCACGCTCAATCAATCACACTCTCTCTCACGCTCACTCGCTCAATCGCTCAATCAATCACACTCACTAAATCACACGCACTCACTCACACAATCAGTCACACACTCACTAACTCACTCGCTCACACTCACTCTCGCTCAATCAATCGCACTTTCACACACTCGCTCGCTCATTCACGCTCGCTCAATCACACACTCACTCACGCTCGCTCAATCACACACCCACTCACGCTCGCTCAATCACACACCCACTCACGCTCGCTCAATCACACACCCACTCACGCTCGCTCAATCACACACTCACTCACACTCTCTCTCACACTCACTCACACTAACTCACACTCTTTCACACACTCTCTCTCGCACTCGCTCGCTCACTCACACTCACACTCTCCCTCACACTCACTCGCTCACTCACACGCTCACACTCTCTCTCACACTCACTCGCTCACTCACACGCTCACACACACGTAGAGGCACAAAGACAAAGATCCCCCTTGTAGCCTGTAACAGACTGATGGGGCAAGTGCTGTCAGTAGCGATCAGCAGCGCATACGAAGGCTACCGGCACTGTGGCACACGACGGCGTGGGAGGCCAGCACCACGCCCGGCCGCCTTTGTCTCTCCCCAGCGGCAACGTTTACTACGACACCACCACCACCACAGCACCAGGTGACTCATTTGAGGCCGAGTCGACCTAGGGGAGGCCCAGGACCGGTTTTGGATCATCGTCACCGGCAGTGTTGGTGGCCGTGAGCGGGAATCGAACTCGGGACGCCGGGTTCGTAGCGCAGCATAGCTCTAACCACGACCACACACACAGACACACACACACAGGCACACACACACAGATACACACACACAGACACACACACACACACAGAGACACACACACACACAGACACACACACAGACACACACAGACGGACACACACACAGACACACACACAGACACAGACACACACACAGACACACACACACACAGACACACACACACACAGACACACACACAGACAACAACAACAACCGCCATTCGCCACTAAGTGGCGGTGACGTCACCACGACGCTTGTGCCAGGCACAGACACACACACAGACACACACACAGACAACAACAGCTGCTGTTCACCACTGCGTGATGGTGACATCACCGCAGCGCTTGTACCAGGCTAGGTGCACATTTAGGCTGTCACGAGGAGGTGAAAGGACAGCTGCAGGTGCCAAACTAGGTGCACGAGGAGGTGGTCACGGGACAGACCCTGCAGGTGCCATGGGTTGACTGCTGTGCCAGGCTCGGTGCAGGAGGACGTCACGGGACAGACCCAGCAGGTGCCATGGGTTGACTGCTGTGCCAGGCTAGGTGCACGAGGAGGTGGTCACGGGACAGACCCTGCATGTGCCATGGGTTGACTGCTGTGCCAGGCTAGGTGCAGGAGGAGGAGGTCACGGGACAGACCCAGCAGGTGCGATGGGTTGACTGCCGTGCCAGGCTAGGTGCACGAGGAGGAGGTCACGGGACAGACCCTGCAGGTGCCATAGGTTGACTGCCGTGCCAGGCTAGGTGCACGAGGAGGAGGTCACGGGACAGACGCAGCAGGTGCCATGGGTTGACTGCCGTGCCAGGCTAGGTGCAGGAGGAGGAGGTCACGGGACAGACCCAGCAGGTGCCATGGGCTGCACTGCTGTGCCAGGCTAGGTGCATGAGGAGGAGGTCACGGGACAGACCCTGCAGGTGCCACGGGTTGACTGCTGTGCCAGGCTAGGTGCACGAGGAGGAGGTCACGGGACAGACCCAGCAGATGCCATGGGTTGACTGCTGTGCCAGGCTAGGTGCACGAGGAGGTCACGGGACAGACCCAGCAGGTGCCATGGGTTGTACTGCTGTGCCAGGCTAGGTGCACGAGGAGGAGGTCACGTGACAGACCCTGCAGGTGCCAATGGGTTGACTGCTGTGCCAGGCTAGGTGCACGAGGAGGTCACGGGACAGACCCAGCAGGTGCCATGGGTTGTACTGCTGTGCCAGGCTAGGTGCACGAGGAGGTGGTCACGGGGCAGACCCTGCAGGTGCTACGGGTTGACTGCTGTGCCAGGCTAGGTGCACGAGGAGGTCACGGGACAGACCCAGCAGGTGCCACGGGTTGACTGCTGTGCCAGGCTAGGTGCACGAGGAGGAGGTCACTGGACAGACCCTGCAGGTGCCATGGGTTCACTGCTGTGCCAGGCTAGGTGCACGAGGAGGTGGTCACGGGACAGACCCTGCAGGTGCCATGGGTTGACTGCTGTGCCAGGCTAGGTGCATGAGGAGGAGGTCACGTGACAGACCCTGCAGGTGCCACGGGTTGACTGCCGTGCCAGTCATGGACACAGATGACGTGGTGTGACGTCACCGCGGCGCTTGTGCCAGGCTGGGTGCACCATGCAACGCGCCAGCTTTGCCCCCCTCCCCCTCCACCCCCTCCCCTCGCTCTCTGCGATCTTTGCCCCGTGGTCTCCCAGGCGACTGTGACGTCACCACGGGGGAGTGTGTGGGGGAGTAGAGGTGCATGTGCGTGTTTATATATGTGTGGTATCAGTGGGTGGGTGAGTGGGTGGGGGAGTGAGTGTGTGAGTGAGTGTGGGTGTGTGTGTGGGTAAACGAGTGGGTGAGTGGCTGAGTGAGTGGGTGAGTGGGTGAGCGAGTGGGTGAGTGTGTGAGTGAGTGTGTGAATGTGTGGGTGAGTGTGTGAATGTGTGGGTGAGTGAGGGAGTGGCTGAGTGGATGAGTGTGTGAATGTGTGGGTTCGGTGGGTGGGGGAGTGGGTGAGTGGGTGAGTGAGTGGGTGAGTGAGTGGGTGGGTGAGTGGGTGAGTGGGTGAGTGTGAGTGAGGGAATGGGTGGGTGGGTGAGTGAGTGAGTGGGTGAGTGTGTGAGTGAGTGGGTGAGTGGGTGAGTGAGTGAGTGGGTGTGTGAGTGGGTGTGTGAGTGAGTGGGTGGGTGAGTGGGTGGGTGAGTGGGTGAGTGAGTGAGTGGGTGAGTGAGTGGGTGAGTGGCTGAGTGAGTGAGTAGGTGTGTGTGGGTGAGTGGGTGGGTGAGTGGGTGTGTGAGTGAGTGAGTGGGGGAGTGAGTGTGTGAGTGAGTGAGTGGGGGAGTGAGTGAGTGGGAGAGTGAGTGTGTGAGTGAGTGGGTGAGGGAGTAAATGGGTGAGTGAGTGGGTGAGTGAGTAAGTGGGTGAGCGAGTGAGTGGGTTTGTGAGTGAGTGGGTGAGTGGCTGAGTGAGTGGCTGAGTAGGTGAGTGAGTGGCTGAGTGGGTGGGTGAGTGGGTGAGTGGGTGGGTGGGTGGGTGAGTGGGTGGGTGGGTGAGTAAGTGAGTGAGTGGGTGAGTGAGTGGGTGTGTGAGTGAGTGTGTGTGTGAGTGAGTGGGGGAGTGAGTGTGTGTGGATGAGGGAGTGAGTGGATGAGGGAGTGAGTGGGTGAGTGACTGAGTGAGTGAGTAAGTGGGTGAGTGGGTGGGTGAGTGGGTGAGTGAGTGGGTGAGTGAGTGGGTGGGTGGGTGAGTGGGTGGGTGGGTGGGTGAGTGGGTGAGTGAGTGAGTGGGTGAGTGAGTGAGTGGGTGTGTGAGTGGGTGAGTGAGTGGGTGAGTGTGTGTGGGTGAGGGAGTGAGTGGGTGAGTGACTGAGTGAGTGGGTGGGTGAGTGAGTGGGTGAGTGGCTAAGTGAGTGAGTGAGTGGCTGAGTGAGTGGGTGAGTGGCTGAGTGAGTGAGTGGGTGAGTGAGTGAGTGAGTGGGTGAGTGAGTGGCTGAGTGAGTGTGTGTGGGTGAGTGAGTGTGTGTGGGCGAGTGAGTGGGTGAGTGCGTGGCTGAGTCAGTGAGTGGGTTAGTGGGTGAGTGGGTGGGGGAGTG